CGGGGGGGGGGGGGGGGGGGGGAGTGGTGAATAGTGTTATTTAAAAAATTTTACAAAGTGAATTATAAATTGCAAGAACAATAACAACAATCACAAAAATTTTGCAATCACAAACACGAGATTTATACTGGTTCCACCACCCCGGATGTATATCCAGTCCCCAAGCAAATCCCGCTTGAGATTTTCGCTATGATTTTGAACCAATTATAAAATTAAAAACCAAACCTGACCAATTTGCAAGACCATGCAAATTGTAACCAATCTCTACACCAAGAGATCTTCTCTCACACCCGAGAGAAACCTTCTTTAAAATAAAATCACAAATTCCTATAAGCCTTAAATGTGTAGTGAAGTGTAGCAGTGGCTTAGGAACTTTTTTTAACACTCTGAAAATTGCCTAATCAATCTTTAATAATGATGGGAACAAAGGCAACTTCAGAACTTTTCAACTCTTGACTTTTGGAATGCAATATTGAATTAAGAGAGAGAGAATTTGCTCAAAGTTTGAATCTTATAAGTATGAAAGATTGTTGGCAAATTCTGAACTCAATACCTATTTATAGCCCCTGAAAAACTTGAATTTTAAACCTAATAAACGTATTAAAACAGCTATAAACAGTCATATTTTCAAATTCTGAAAAGCTAGAAAAAATGTATTTGTAGTCGACTGTAATGCTTTGTAGTCGACTAATCTGGGTTAATTCAGATTATGTAAAGTCCAGACACATGCTTAGTAGTCGATTATAAATGTCATTGGTCGAGTAATCTGTAAGACTAAAGTTTCTGTAATTTTGAACTAAGCCTTAGTGGTCGACTATTAAGTATCATAGTCGACTAATCTGTAATTTCACAGCTTCTGGAATTATTACTAAGACTTGAGTAGTCGGCTACTAAGGGTATTGGTCGATTACTGATACATAGATATGATATATGATATGTTTTGAGACTCACACTATATCTATAAACTTTAATAGTTAACTTAGGGGATTTTTATAGTTAACCACACACTAAGCATGTGTTAGCAAGTTCTAAATACTATGTGTATGTATGTGTTGTGAGTGATCAAGGTTTGTACAAAAAAAATCTAAGCAAAGAAAAAAAAATACAAGTTTTTGATTGAACACATCTCCTTCTTTGCTTGTCTTGTGCCTTGATTCCTTGAACTCATCCTACACTTTAGTTGACATATCTTGAGCATATCGAAAGTTGTTATCCGTATTGATATGTTAGTACATATATAATACATATAGTAAGTAAATTGTTATCATCAAAATTATATTTTGGAGATAAAATATCCAACAGTGAAGGCAATCTATGGCACCACTAGACACTATGCGGCTTTGCCGCTTATGTATAGCTTACGATAAAGATTAACTGGACATAGATCCTTGAAGTATTTAGCTCTGCAACTTTTCTTTTGGCATACATGTCAAAGTGATTTTTTTCATTTTCATTTTTAATTTTTTGACTCTTTTACCTTAGAGAAAGAAATGGCATTTGATAAATAGACCTCTTAAAGGGTACTAAGAGAAAGATTTCACTGACAAAGTCAATCTACCAAAGTCTTGTAAGTTCCAGAACACGATACTACAATGAGTCTATGTACAATCAATATCTACCAATACTATATTTTATTATATTGTTATACTAATAACGAAAAAACCTACTTACATGGTTCTATCAGTTGTTAAGTTCTAAGTGCTCAAATATTTAATAACTAACAATCATTTATTCCGCTATCACATCTTAATCTGGTATCTTCTACATAATAGATCTAGTCATCGGGCCAGCCTGGCCTGAAAAACCTGCCCAGCCGATCCAATCCCAACCTAAGCTCGAGCCCGAACGGAGCGTGAGCTGGAGAATATTCGGTCCCAAAACCTAGCCCAAAGATTATTGAGCCTCACTAATTTAAAAAAGAAAACATCTAAGTTGGGCGGGCTTGGGCAATTGGACATCACTAATTTGAGAAAACATAATTTAAGTCATCAGTAATTAAACAAAACACTTAAAAAACCCGTCTAAAGCACCTTTGTGTGGGCTTGGGCACTGCCTGGTGGGCCGAACCTGTAGGCCGGGTTTGACCGCCCAAACCCAAAATTAAGGGCCCAAAACCAGCCTGGTTAAGCCCTAGCCCGTGGGCAGGTCTAGATCTTAATTTCCCTTTCCTTTTTTCCCTTTTCAATTTTAGTTTTCTATAAATCAATTATTTTGTTATTTTATTCCAAAATAATTATTTTTATCCTAACTTTACCGAAAAGTAACATGCATACAAGAATATTAATTTAATCCCGAGCATCTCACTGGTAACAACGAGTTAACCCTGCAGCTAATAACACAGAAATCATCAAAGCATGCTACGCTACAGTAATAACACAGAAATCATCGTCTGGATCAGAAGAACTCAAAGTTGAGTCCAGCCATATCGTAATCAACAAACGTCTCAACTCAGTCAATAACGGACCGGAAAGTACACGAAAAAGCTCTCATCACAAAAGTCGAGCCCAACATTTCACCATAGTATAAATATAGAGATACAGATTTTGCCTTGCTCCTCACAAATTCGACAATATAAATCAGAAAAAGTTAGTATTCTCGTACAAACAACCAGCATTGCTCAAGGACTGAATAGCACACAAATAGATACTCGCAATAGCAGGCAAAAAAAACGTAAGGAAAAAAAAGCCTGGTAACGATTCACAATATACATCCGCCGAACTCTGACGCAAATAGTCTCCAAGCATAAAAACCTTTTGAGGCATTTCTTCAAGCAGATTAATTCTTCAAAACACTGCATCCGAAAGAAACACATTGTGGATAAAGGTCAAATTAAGAAAAGGAAAGGAAAAAAAAAAATCGGTGGTAGTTTTGATATATGAGAGAATGATCCAAGACCGGAGCTGATTGATGAATGTAAACAGGTTTGAATTCAGCAAATGGAGAGAATTGGACCTAAACGTAGGTTTCTAAAACTGAGAAAATATGTTAGCAAATAATCAATCCTATCTTAGCGAACTCTTAAAGCTTAGTCTACATTACTCTAGATAACTAACACAAGTCTTCTGAAAAATTACAATTTCTGGCCAAAGGCTAGAATTACTCTCATCTCCAAACCTATTGCCGAATCATAAATCTTTTCCCAACCCACTTAGCCAAACACCAAATTGCATACTGGTGCTCGCTCTACAAAATTGAGGCAGGAGGGGTTAGACAACTTACACCATGTTTGGTACGTGGGAATGAGTGGAAATGGAATGCTCATTCCCAATTCTGATTCATGCATGCCAAATACAATACTTTTTTTGAAGCTAGAATGCGTATTCTCAATTCTCATTCATTCCCACTTTATATGGAATGTCCACTTTATGTGAGAATGAGAATTCCTAATGAGATGGTAAGGAATGAGCATACCCACTTAAATGGAAATTAATAATTTGAAATAAATTCTAAATGTCTTAATTGTTTATTAATTGCTCATACCAAAAATAAAAAGATTGGCATTCCCATTTCATTCTCTAATCGCACTCGAACTTGAGAATGAGAATGAACATTTCGTTCCCACACTTATTCCATTTTGTACCTTATTTCATTCCGTTCTCACTTCTACTCTATTTTTACGTACCAAACAAGGCGTTAGTGTTTGCAAGGAAGTACGGAAGCTGCATGGGGATCGAATTAGGACCTAAGGGAGAAAGCGTTTAACTCTATAACAATAGTGGATCTACATAGAGTCCAAGAGTTTCATAAGACACCATTGGATTGCCTACTTTGTACTTGTATTTGTATTATTGAGTAACACCATTAGATTTTTATTTTACTAGTAGGGGTGCATTCGTTCAGGATATAATACTTACCATATCCATCCTCACTTTCTAAAAACGGATAAAGATATTCTTTGGTAAGAAAATGTCATAATAATCATATCCACATTAAAGACAGTTCAGATATCAGAGAAGCGGATATAAATACTATATCAAATACAAATTAAAGATTTGGAAAACAGATATGACTCGTATTTGACAACTGTTAATTGGATAATAAAAGTTAACAGTTAAAAAAATTGTTTCAGAAATTTCAACCACATTAACCTAAACAAACCTCACAAAACCAAGAATTTTGATTACAAAAAAGTACAAGACGAAGTAAAACACAAAGTGCTACAATTTTTTCTTCTAGACCTAACATTTTATTATATCCATTTGATAATCAAATTATAGTATAACATAAATTTGACTGTAAATAAGTTTTTGTACAATTGATTACCTTAATAATAGCACGATCCAATAAACCAAAAATATATGACCACGTCATCAAGATAATAAAAATTTTAGTAATATTCATATTCGTAACTGTATCCGTTCGTATACCCGAACTGTATGCGAAATTAGAACTGACAATCCGTATCCGAAACCGTATCTGACTAAGAATCCGAAACCATATCTAAAACTATATCGATATCCGACTGGTTTCAAATTTGGCTAACCATATCAGCATCCGTTTCGGATACGGTTGTGGATCAGATCGCATGTATCCCGACCATTTTGCACACTTATTTACTGGTCATGCTTTAAGTTAAACAGGGAGAGCAGTGGGAAAAATCCGGGATCCACCACTGCCTCAAAAAAAGGATAAAGTAACACTCAGTCAGTTGTGACTTAGCTACCTTTGCCAAATGCATGATAACACCCATGAGGCTGCAGATTTAACATGAAAATAGCGTTACACAACAAAAGTTAGGAGGAATCAGACCTTAACTCCTGCTAACTCTTCTCAAATGCCCAAAAATGGCCAAAATTACAAAACAATCATCACCTGGCAAGGAGAGTAAATTTTTCCTACTTTGAAAAATGTTTGTGCAATTAGACACTCTATTTCTTGAGGGCAGGAGTTATAAATCTTCGCTGAGAAGGCATGAATTATAATTCCACCTTTTAATTAGAGTTAGTAAACCAAATGAATACTTGAGTTGAACACATGGTGGTCACAAACTCCGACCAACTCCCTAAACTCATGCATCCTATAAAGGGCTCCTTTAGGAGAAATTTGGCTTTTTTTTGTGCGAAAAACATATAATTAAATAAATAAAAATAAAACAGCAACTATACCAAGCTACTGTAAAGGGGACTTGCATGCCATTTGGGTGAGTTGGCAGTGAGTTGATGACCTTAAATACTACCTTACTGCATGAAGCATCAAAATTGAATTGAACCAGGAAAAGCTACTTATAGAGGTAAGTAGCAATGCCAAGAATTATGTACAGGATGATGATGATGATGCAGAAGTAAAGCATCAAAAATTGAATTGAAACAAATAAAGCAACTTACTTATAGAGGTAAGCAGCAATGCCAAGAATTATGCAAAGGAGAATGATGTCAATGCAGAAGTTTCGGCTCGACCTCAGCTGAAATAAAAAATAATGCAATATTTTACTGGCGTTAGATGAAGTTTATAAGCCTGATTCAGGTACGTGTACATATAGGATATACAAATAACTACATATGATACTTACCTGGTGAACAGTTTCTTTAAGTCTAACATTAGTATTCTTCAAATCTGCATTTGCCCTGTCTACCTGCAGACAGTAAACATAACTCAACAATACATTGCGAAATTCACCTCATCCCAAAGTTCAAGTGTAAAAAGAGTAATGATAAAAATTGACCTTGGAGTCTATCTCATCCATTAATGGGACTTGCCTGTCCACTTCCTGTGCAATTGAGATAAAATGTAAGGTTGACTTTATTCATAATTTCAAGAAAAAAGGAAACACACACCAAAAGAACCGACCTCGTTCATGTCATGGGCCATGTTTTTCAAAGTATCCAGCCCTTCAGCAATAACATCCAAACCTTGATCCTGCAAACAAGTTGAAGTGACATTTAAATGCTAATTTTTCAGGTTTTGGAAGGCCAATGTAAAAGGCTATTATAAGGATGGAGACTATAAACCGTGTTTATAAAATAAGAGCAACAACTTACCTGTTTCATTTTGCGCATTTCATACTCTTGCCTAAATTGGGATGATTCTTCAGTTTGTTGAAAGTATTCACTGTCAAATCTTCCATCTGCAGCAAGTAGAAGCACAGTGAGTTTTCATAAAGAGGGAAGCAGTTGACAGATGACCACAAAAACCTAGCATATTCAAACCGAATGATTGTTTCTTAGTTTAGAAACAAGGATGAAACAAACATGTGAAGATAAGAAAGGCTTCACAAGAACAAAATTTTAACTGAAAGATACCATTTATAAATTGTAAAACCCTGTAAATTTGAATATTTTATGATAAATAATGATAAATATGTTATATAGTAAAAAGTAACATATTTTGATGTTTGAGTATGATAAGAATTGATTTGCGATTAATTCAATGTATATTTGTGAAAATATGAGTGCAAATGCACAAAACATGCACAAAGGCCAAAAGAGTGAAAATCTGAGAATAATGACCAATTATGAGTTTCTATGTTTTGTATACCGATGCAGTCAGAATCTGAAAAGTATAAAAGACCAAAGTTGTAGATCTCTTCAACAGCTCTCCAACAAATCTTAGATCACCTCATTCCGAGGTCGGATGAGAAAGTTACAGCCAAAATACCGAAGATTGTTTTCCTAGTCAGACTAGGTTTCCTGGTTCGGGTCAAACAGATTTGTTTCGGGTTTGTCTCTATAAATACATGTGTTTTTCACGAAAATTCCTTTCTTTTATCATATCTATGAACCCTAGCAGCCACCTTCTCTCCTCAAAAATCCGAGATCTTTTTTTTATGAGTTTGGAGAGCTTTGTGAAGCAAAACACCGACACGAATGCGAGATCATCGACGTGTGGCGAGGGAGAACGAGTTGTTTATGGTTGTGGATTGCTTGCTATTTGTTTCAGAGGCTTGCACATGATATTAAGACAAGATCACTTGCATCCAAACTCATCCCCATAGTTAAATCACTAGCTTAGAAGTTTAATTTGTGTTTACATACTTAGATCTTAATCTAATATGAAAAGATTAGATTTTTGTTGTTAGATCTGAAACAAATGTTAGATCTACATGTTTTTCTTGCTGTTTATAATAGAAACATGATCATGATCATTAGGGTTCTTTAAAATTTCGTTTTTAACTTGTTAATCATGTTCTAATCATGTTTAAACCCAAATTTGACATTTAATTGAGTTCGCATGTGGATTAAAGATGAGAAAACCCTAGATTTGTGATACCTAAGTGTTAAAAATATGTTTTAATGAATGTATATCTTTTCTAAGATGTTTGACAATCATGCTTATGTTTAATATGTTAAAAGTTCATGCTTTAAATTGAAGTATTTGGTTAATTAGGTTGAAAAACCCTAATTAGATTAACACAAGAGTTTGATTTATGTTCGAGATAATTTTAGTAAGTGATTATCAAAGTTCAAGTGTTGTTATATGTTTTATATATGTTTTAGTATGTTTTAAACATGATTGAAGGTTTAAATATGATTTCTTGTGCAAATAATCATGTTTGTTATGTTCTGCAGAAAAACTGCCGTACATATATACTGTTTAACTAGAAATTTAAAATAACAAATAAAATCCAAATTGAACCAAACTAATGCCAATGTAAAGATATGTGAATCTAGTTTTCAAAACAGAAAACCTTTACTAAAGATAGTTTTCCTAGAGAAAGATATGCTCAATTTACTGATGATACGTTCTGCAGAAAAACTGCTGCACATATATAACGTTTAACTGGAAATTAGAGATATCATATGAACTCCAAACTGAACCAAACCAGTGCCAAATGATAGCTATGTGAATCTAGTTTTCAAAACAAAAAATTATTCTTAAAAAAAGTTTGTCTAGAGAAAGATATGCTTAATTGACTAACGATATGCTCTGAAAAAAACTACAAATATGCTGATTTAAAATAATTGATATATAACGTGAAAGTTTCTTGAGTTTCGCTCTTGTTTGTTATTTTTGAGTGCTGATTTAAAATAATTGATATATAACGTGAAAGTTTCTTGAGTTTCGCTCTTGTTTGTTATTTTTGAGAGAGTTTCTCAATTGATATATAACGTGAAAGTTTCTTGAGTTTCGCTCTTGTTTGTTATTTTTGAGAGAGTTTCTCGATCTTGTATTGTTATATTACAATGATTAAGATTTGTTTAGCATCTGAGATGTTATTGAACATCAATTATGAACACGTACATCGAGATATATGCATGTATGCTTAGATTATGTTGTGTTAACATATTTTTGTCTCATGTTGAGCTGATGAATACATATAGGAGAGTATAGTCATTTTTCATGTATCCGAAAATAGGGAGATAAAACTTATTTTCGCAAGACGATTGAGTAAGAGTATTATAAAAGTATCGTCATTTTATGTATCCGAAATAGGGAGATAAAAACCTATTTTCGTAAGACGATTGGGTAAGAGTATTATAAAAGTATGATTATTTCATGTATCCGAAATAGGAAGATAAAAACCTATTTTCGCAGGACGATTGAATAATAGTATTACAATAGTATCGTTATTCATGTATCCGGAATAGGAAGACAAAACCTATTTCCGCGGGATGATTGAGTAAGAGTATTACAAAAGTATCATCATTTTATGTATCCGGAATAGGAAGACAACCTATTGCCACAGAACGATTGAGTAAGAATATTACAAGAGTATCGAGTATACATATATGTATTATCAGTTGTAGTTACTCCCATGTTAGATTACCCATGAGTAGGGTACATTCTTTGATTTGTAACATACAAGATATGGCCTATGGTGATTTTTAAGTTGGATGATATTCTCTTATTATTGCGCCAACTACTTGAGAAGTAGTTCGAGATTTTGACATTGGTTCTATATGGTTGAGGCTTGGAATTTTTCTTTTGAGTGTTGTTTTTATTCATAGAGTTTGAATTGGTATTTAGGGATCTACAATTTGAGACATATGGTATATATATGAGGGTTTTCTTGTTTGGATTATTTCGCTCGACGTACTACGTCTCGTCTTGTAGGTGTCTAGATATTAACTCCATTAGATACGAGAAAAATGATATAGATAGACTATGCTTAATAGATAGAGCCTCCACTTCATCTAGCAGCCATTCCTCTGAGACGGATGGAGGTGATCTTCCTGTAGCGCTCTGACGCTCTTGTTATTGTTCTTTTTGTTTAAATTATATCTTTCAGGCAGATTAGAGTTTCGAAGAGCCGTAGGATGACGGAGTTCTAGCATAGTCACTGTCGCACAGTTTTAGCAGTTAAAGCTCCACTATATAGTTATGTTCATTGTTCAGACTTTAGAATTGTATTCATTTTGTAGAGACTGAGTGCCTTAGTGAGACTTCATTTGACTCATTGTGTTGAGATGTATTTCAGACTCAGAGATATTTTCATTCTATTTTAGTTGGGCTCATTGTTGATATACTACTTCTGTGCATATCTGATTTTGTACTACTTCTATTATTTGTCTGTTTTGTACCTTCACCTATTTGTTGTCTCCACTACAAAGATAGTGACTGTGATGGTGAAACATGTCGTAGTATGGTATTTGGTGCTTGGCAGGTTTGACAATTCGGGTTTTACCTTGGACTGTAGCCTTGTGTGAACCCTGTAGCGTCACATAAAGGTACAACTTAAAACGCACCAATGGTAGCACAGATGCTATACAAATTAGTTCAGAAAACTATTACTATCTAATACATAACAATGATTCATCATGTCTATTTTAAACCGTACTTCTCTCCAGCTTGCATCTTTTAATGCGAGTGAGGAAAATTCTTTCTATATAAAAAGATGAAGGCTACATCATGCATGTTCTAAATTATACTTCTTTCATGCTTAGGGAACGCTTTAAGGCATGTGAATAGAAGTCCTTTCATAATTTATGCATGTTATACTAGTTGCATAAGATTGCACAACAGAATGGAGAGAGTAGCAAGCATCATCCTATGGGAACAAATGGAAAATACAGAGCAAGGAAATCATCAGGCCTCATATATTATACTTTGCCAACATACTAATAATAAGGTGAGAAAACTATGAAGTTCCCGAAGACATAAACGACAGCACAAAAAAGTCCCTTGACATTAGATGGCAATAGTGATTTCACTCTCCACCCGAGTTATCAAAGTACTCCATTATCATCCACAATATGAGGAACTTATTGCAAAGTTTTAGAAAAACTATAGGCATTTATGGGCGCCGGATATAGTGCCTAGCGCCTAGGCGCTTAGGCAGCGACACGTAGGTGCGATTTTAGCAAGAGAGGAAGGATTTTTTTAGAGATTCAAAATCCTATCCACAACGTTTTACCATTTTATCTCGGAGGTGAACTTGGATCAAGTTCTGATCTGATCTATTTGAACATGACCCATTCTCTTCATATGTTATGTGCAAATGGACTTTAAATGCTTTTTGACGTGATCGGTCTAGGGTCGAGCAGTCCATGTTTGCCTATGCACTCTCAGGAATTAAGCAGGCGGTATAGATACAACTTAGGCCTAGGCAGGCACCCAAACTGCTTTTTTTTAAAGCGATGGCTTATTAAATAGATTTTACTCAGCAAAAGGTTATTTGCTTAACTACACTATAATAACTCGTTTGGCACACGAGCACGGAGTCAAGTGAAAATGGAATGGAGGGACGAATGGAATGAACGTTGGAATGAAATGCTAACTCCCATTCTCATGGTTCGGTGTGACTATGGAATGAAGCGGGAATGACAATTTTGTTCTCATTCGCATGTTTGGTACCATTAGTTCATAGGTAATGATATTTTAGTTTATAATAATATGCCCTTACAACATGGAATTTTAAAAAGTTAAAAATAAATTAATATGACTGAATACTCTCGTTTTTTAAAAATAAGTTTTATAAAATAGTTTTCATTTTTTTATAGAAATAATACCCTTGACAAACTTACTTTATTGTAATCTAAATATTCAAGATTTCATGTTTACATCCTAGCATCCAAATTTCTATCCACAATAAAAAAAGAAACAAAGAAAAATTCTTAGCATACCAACGTTTTTTTTTTGTACTGGAACACGTAGGGAAAAACATAAAAAATCTTAGAAGGAAGAATAGTTCATATTCATTTCATTAGTGCCATACTGAATTGTCTTAGTAGCAAATCCACTGACTTCACCGCAAGAGTCAGGGGCGGAAATATGGTATTGTCAAACAAAATAAATAAAATATAATTAAGTGATTTTGAGATATCGTTGTTTCATATCTTTTAAAATGGGTATATTTGAAATTTATTTTATAGTTGTAATTCTCACTTTAAGTTAGAATGCTCATTCCCTATTAACTCCATGGGAATGCCCATTCCCACATAATGAAAAGTAGGAATCAACATTCTAATTTTCAGAAGAATGTTGTGTTTGGTACACGTGAATGGGCAATGAGAATAAACATTCCATTCACACTCATTCACGCGTATCAAACGAGGCCTAAGAAGCATCAAAATGACACCCTGAGAACACAGCCCCAAGCATGTGCAAGACCAAGTACACACCCAAGGAACCTTCTTTCCACCACCTAAAAAAGAAAGAAGATCAAACTAAAGATGAGCTCCACAAGAATACCTAGTAAACATCAAAGTTGTGTAATTTAATGATTTCCCCATTCCACTTCAATCTCTCAAGATAAAGCTTCGGCTAAGTCTAAATGATTATAAAAATCACACCTAGATACCTATCAACTTTGTAGAATTCTTTAAAATCTGTGCAAATTCACAAAATTTGGCAACATTTCAAGTTCCTTAAGTAACTTGGTTCTGTCTTTAATATAAGATTGCTTATGACTTTCCAAGTATATGAAACGCAAGTCACCTGAAGTCGACTCAAACTTGATTTCTGTGCGAGAACCTGAAGCAACCCATCCTCCACCTTGTTTTGCTACATTTGCAGTACCATCTGGTATAGACTGAATCCTTTCTGGCAATGCAAGAACCAAATCATTTCGTGTGGCAAGTTCTTCTTTTGAAAGTCCTTTAACCTGCAGTAAATTTAGCACATAAATTATCCTTAATAAGTATAGCATGTTGAAACAACAATAAGGTCTTTTGTTACATAAAATATTTAGGACGAACTGTGGCAAACCTCAATAGTAACAAAAATGATGAGCATTGTAATAGGTGAATCAATAAATCATCTAACTAAAGGAACTCAATTATAAAGACTTTAAAGAAATGATGATTCATCAAATATACAAAATTAAATTAATGTATCATCTAGGAAAAATGTAAAATTCAAGTAGATCTTATCTCCAAATTTCTTTGACCGCTTAAATAAGAACCCGTGATTACCAAATAGTAGCAACACCCCTATAATTTAGTGATCCAAGATAGAGCACTCATGCAATTGCGAGCCCAATTAAAATTTTAAGCCTATATAGAGATTATATACTCCCAAAGATGGCTATCACTTCTCCTTCCAAACTTGACTTTATGTAAATAAAGATTAAGATATAGATAAATTCCCCTAAAGTTTCATGTGCTCTAGAAATAAACACCTCGTACTTATTCTACATATAAACACTTTAAAGCTTATTTACTTCAAATAGTACCTTGAAGTTTCTACTACTTCTAGGATACTACCCCCACAGAAACAATAACCAAATTGATCTCCTTTTAATGTAAATAAGACAACTATCAGCAAAGAAGGAAGTAGGGGTAGTGGTGGAGGGACTGGGGAAAATGGTGGCAATATGCCACAATGAGGGAGTAAATAAGAGATGAAGAAGTAGTAATCAGAGGAAATGGGAGAGAAAGAGGATGATGATTTATAACGTGTAAGACAATTAGTGTTAGATATTATTACTATTGCAATGTTAGTAGATAATATGAGATATTGTGCGATGTGATTAGATATGATTTTATCTCATACTTATTTTGTAATATCTTTTTAATCTCTATTTAAGCGAGGTTATAGTTAAATGAATTAATAAACCATCTTTTCTATTTATCTACAAGGTATTGGAGCCTTATTGATCCTAAAAAGGCCTCTTTCTTCTTCCTCAACCTCGGGGCTGTCGAGGGTTTTTTTGCCACTTCCATGCTTCCCCTCTGCGGCTTCGACATATTTAGCTTCGACAGCATTTTTGACATCTACATCATTCGATTTCAAAAACTTCATTGAACCTCAACAAAAAACCCGTAGCCTCAAAAAGTGTCCCAAAAATTATCTACTCTTGCTCACCATGGTACTGTTCATCATGTACAATAACCCCAACATCTTATTTGGATGTTTTGATATCCCGGTCCTTTTTTCTAATAAAATCTTCTAAAATTCGCCTTGATGTTATCATATTTCTTGTCAAAGGGCGCCTAAATCAACATTGAGCGACCGAGCAAGCAATGAATCAATTGAGAGTTTTCCCCAATTGTTTCTACTGGCTAATCCACCTAAGGTTTCTACTAGCTGACCCGTCTAGAGTTTTTTACTGACTTAGCCGCATATGGTTTCTACTAGCTTATCCGTCTAGGATTTCTACTGTCTTACTCGTCTAGGATTCCTTTTGGCTTACTCGCCTAAGGTTTCTTCTGGTTGTGACTACACTTTATTGATTGCTAAAGACTTCAAGTGTTCCAGGCAAAGGTGACATTACCAAAGCTCTTCCAATTAGGTGTTTTACTTCCATTTGTAACAAGTTAGATATATATAGTATATAAGCTCCAGCTTGAGAGAGTGTTAGATATTAATAGTATGGAGATATTAGTAGATATTATGATATATTATCAAGATATATCATAATATCTTTTGGCTTACTCGCCAAAGATTTCTTCTAACTGTAACTACACTTTACTGATTGCTAAAGACTTCAAGTATTCCAGACAAAGATGACATTACCAAAGCTCTTCCAACTAGGTGTTTTATTTCCATTTGTAACAAGCTGGATATATATAGTATATAAGCTCCAGCTTCAGGGAGAGTGTTTCTTAGTATGGAGATATTAGTAGAAATTATAAAATATTGTTGAGATATTGTGAGATGTGATTAGATATAATTTTACTTCATTAATATGGAGATATTAGTAGATATCATGATATGTTGTTGAGATATTGTGAGATGTGATTAGATATAATTTTATTTCATACTTATTCTGTAATATCCTCCTAAGCTCTATTTAATAGAGGTTTGGGTTAGATGAATAAACAAACTGTCCGTTTATTTCTCTAGAGTTAGTTTTGACCATAACATACTTCATCTTTACATATTATTTAAGGTAAAAAAATAATTAACATTTGCATATGTGAGGCACCAAGAGTCAGATATATGTATCTTAATGTAACAAATAGACTGCTTTTCGCTAGCCAAAGCATCATCCAAATCATAAGATTGTTCCTTCTTGCTGAATACCTACTAATTGTTATGTAAAGTCTTAAAGGTAAATGGTTCAAACTATATTTTTAATTGGTTAATAAAATTTGTCATTTTATATTTCAAAATTTCACATAATATGTGAACCAAAAAGATTTACAAACCGTGGTCTTTCATCTCTTTTCAATTTATGGGAAAAATAACGATACGTGAATTTTTATATTTATGTACCATAAATACAAGGTAAAAGGTTTACTTAAAAAAACTTCAAGGTAAATTTTCATAATAAAAATCCATTTGATAATTTGCATATTCATGCTATGCTATGCTGCAAATCATGTCAATTTTTGCATTATTGTAAAACAAGGAAATGTTTGTTGTATAGTCATATGAGAGGGGAAAAGTTCATGCATATCATCCGTCTATTTAGAAAAGAAAATTTGGATGGAATAAATGCATGTAGTTGTTTTTTGTATTATTTTGATGTCCAAAATTGAAATATCTAGTAAGCAATTAGAGTTAAAGGGAATAGAAGTTTCTTAGATTACCGATAAGCTTTTACACTAGTATTTCTATGTCGTATCTTCTTCATTGATCTAAGAGTGAATAAATACATGCGAAGGACAATACTTGTAACTCAAACTCACAAGTAAGAAATCCTCCATTCTTCATGTTAATTTTATCATCTCTCTCTCTCTCTCTCTCTCTCTCTCTCTCTCTCTCTCTCTCTCTCTCCCCCTCCCTCCCTCTCCCTTTTTTTTTCTCTCTCTCTCTCTCTCTCTCTCTCTCTCTCTCTCTCTCTCTCTCTCTCTCCCCCTCTCCCTCCCTCCCTTTTATTATTATTATTACTATTTATACACAACATTATGGATTACTTACTAAATTATTATGGGGAAAACAGCTTATCTATCATTTGTTTCCTCAGTGCACAACCTAAACTAGTTAATAGGGAAAATCACATTACACCCACCACACCTCCTGAATCCAAAAGGGGCGAAAAGAGAGAGAATAAAAAAGATTAACACAACTACCAAATTTTAGCTTATTAATGAAAATTGACTAATACATAAAAAGCAAAAGGTAATATGAAGGAAACACCGCTAACCAATATGCATGATCTACTAGCTAATCACAAAAATGCATTTTGTTATTATATCTCAACTCAATTGCACCTCAAGCAAATGCAAATCAGAGAAATGAAACCTTCTTAAGAGCCAATCTCTGCAACTTCGGCACCTCCTCCATCAACCTCGCCTTCGTTCTCCTAATCTCTGCGTTCATCGCCACCGCCGCCGCCCTATTCTTTTCTTTACCCGCCATCTCCGCTTTCTACAAAGCAATTCAACACTAGATTATCAACAAAACCTAATCCAAGCCAAAAACGAAGACCTGGATCTCGAAATTCGCACCTCGAGGGCGGCGTCGATGTCATCCTCGACGGATGAGTAGAGGCGAGCGAACCCATCGTCGCCGGAGACGTTTTCGTTCCGCTGCTTGTCGACGTCGTACCTGTCGTACTTTTGACAGATCGCGTCGACTCGAGTTAGGATGTCGATCACGCTCATCGTTGATTTTGTTCGCCCCTTCCCTAGGGTTTGATTTGAGGATTGATCGCCTTATTCTTCGTGCGATTGAGGTTTGGAGATTGAGAAAAAAGAGGAAGAAAAGAGGAGATATACAAAAAGAGGAATAGTGCGAAACAGTCAGGGGCCTCGTGTTTCGGCTTGGTCTTGTGCTCGGAGCTTGAGGGCCCGTTTGGTTGGTTTCCTAAAATCAGAAATCGGTACAAAGAAATCAATAAAATAATATTTTTATTCATTTCCATCCCTAAAACTCACCCATAACATCCAATAAAATATTATTTTTATCATCTAACTCATCTTATTTCATCTTCTTTCTTATCTTTAAAAATAAACCAAACATAAGAAATATGTCACATCATCCAACTCATCACATCTCATCTTATCTCATTTTTAAAAATCACATACATCATCTAATAATATTGTGACAACTCATCTCATCTCATCAAACCTTCCTTTCCATCCATTTCCTCAAAAAAAAATAAGAAATTAATTTCTTTAAGTATGTGTCACATCATCCAATAATATACCTCCAACTCATCTCATCTCATCTATTTTCTTATTTTTAAAAACGAACCAAACACAAACAACCTCAAAACATCATCCAATAATATACCACCAATTCATTTCCTTATCTTTTTAACCAACCAAACAACCTCAAAACAATTTTTTTAAAAAAATCAGTCACATCATCCAATAATAAGGTGACAACTCATCTCATCTCATCTCCTATTTTATAATTTCATTCTTTTTTAAACCAACCAAACAACCTCAAAACAATTATTTTAGGAAATAGGTTTCCTATTCTTTGATTTAACCAAACAACCTCAAAACAATTATTTTAGGAAATAGGTTTCCTATTCTTTGATTTCCCATTCTTTTTTGCGAAACGAACAGCCCCTGCAATTATTTTAGGAAATAGGTTTCCTATTCTTTGATTTCCCATTCTTTTTTGCGAAACGAACAGCCCCTGAACCTAACGGACTCGAATCAGGGCAGATTGCGGATACCCCCCTCGCTTATTCATTCAATAGCACTTGTCACCCCAAAACTGTTTTATTAGTGCTTAACATATCCTAATTCTCAGAAAATTATCTACAATTTGTTCTCAACAGGTTATCTGCAATTTAATTGCAATTTAATCCCAACAAAATTGATGTGTTGAGTTCTACAAAGGGATAGATGGGGAAGGATTATATGCAATCTACCACATATATGTCACGCGAGAGAATATTATGAATATGTTCTGTGTATAAATGCTTGCGATAAATTATTAAATTTTAACTTTGAACAACATATGTGTGTCATTATAGTAAATATTAGCTAGTAGGGAAAAAAACCAGTGGTAAATGTTTAGTTAAGAGTTGCGGAGCCCATGTTATTACAACTACATCTACAATTCAAACGTCTTGTTTGGTTAGATGCTGCTGCTACACTAAGACGTTGTTGTGATAATAAAATAAGTTGAAGATAAAGGTGTTGACAACACTCAAATTTAAGAGTGTTGCAACACTATGAGTTGGAACACCGTCAATGTTTATTGTTCCAACTCCTGCTAACCAAACACACACTTACTATGGGTTTTTGTAGCTCATTTTTAAGAGGTGAAGGGAGAAGTTGGGAATGGCACAATATTAATCATCCTAAAATTATGTTCATATACATTTTTTAGTAAGTGGGGGAAAGGATTAGGAGGAGTGAAAAAAAGCAAATTTCCTAACTTTCTTAATACTCCTAACTAAGACGCATTAGAATGGGAGGGATTGGATTTTAAGTGAATTGTTTCATTCTCTTCCTATTTTTCGCTATAAAGAAACACAAATCAGTACCATCACTCACTCTCCCTCCCTCCACATTCTCTAGTTATCTATAAAAGCACAATTAGTTACATCACACTCCCTTTCTCTTTTTTTCCCTCCCCTTGGGACAAAGTTTAATCACCCCTGCCCGACCCTCTTTTCTATGCAAACGGTCCAAAAGTGTTAGACAAACTACAAGTTAGTTAGGTTATGTACTCGAATAACTTTATATTTTGCAATAAATAATTGCAGTATTTGTAATAGACAATTCAGCCACAAAAAAAAAAACTTGCGATCCATTTTTGTTAATTGGTTGCAGCCAACTACGAGCTACGACCTTAAATAATTCCATAACGCCTCATTTAGCAAAGGGTTAAGGAGGATGGCTTAAGGAGAATGGTTAACATAATTAGTACATTTGCTAATCTGAAAACGTTAAAACTTTTAATATGATGGATTTATTTGTTTAATCATTACGGTTATTTTTTGTGTTTGGGAATAAAAAGGATTATAACCATTTTCTTTATAACTAGAGGGGCTATCTCTTAATTCTTCTAAGGACAAATTTTGAAAACCATCCTATTTGAGAAAATAATCGCAAATTCTGACCTATTCTAAAATTTTTTGTCTAAACCGACCTAGTTTCAGCGGTTTGGTTGAAACTTGGTCGGTTTTGACAAAATATATTCCGAAACTTCACGGGACTTCAAGTCCCGTGATGTTTTGTAATGTCCCGTGAAGTTTCGAAATATTTTTCTTCAAAACCGACCTAGTTTCAGTCCGCCAGCTGAAACTGGGTTGGTTTTCACAATTATTTTATGAATGGGTCGATATTTGCAATTATTTTCTCAAATAGGATGGTTTTCAAAATTTGTCCTTAATCTAAATAGGTGGATTTGTAAACCTTTCGTTTTGAGAGATTAACTCATTTTAACCTCTCTAAAGTGTTTTATAAACCATTCTACTGCTCTTTTATTTAACAAATTATGAGGGATTACCTCAGTTCACGCATTGTATAAATTTTTTATGTTTAGCTGGCTAATCAGGGGGTGAACTCTCCTTACCCCTATCTTAACCTTTTTGAGAAATGGGGCCCAACTGACTAGAGAAGAAAACGGGCCACAGCTGGCAGATGGATAGCCCTGGAAGCCCAATAAAGCTCTTCCAAACCTCCGAAAAGCACTCCAAAATCCCACTCCCCTAAAACCCTAGCTCCCCTTTCCCCCAGTGACCCAGTCTCTCCCCATTCATGGCGAGCTCCAACGACAAAGCCAAAACCCTAATCGCCCTTGGAATCGAGGGCTCCGCCAACAAGATCGGCGTCGGAATCGTGACCCTC